AAATAAAAAATTTCCAAAGCCCAAAGGAGAGAAACTTGGTAAAGATAAAGAAGCAACAAGAAAAACAAATGGCTTCCCTGGTATACGTATTGGGTATGGGTGGAAAGATGGAGAGCTTGTTGCTTTAGAACTGATTCTGGATCAGTTTTGCAGAGTAAGTACATCAGTTGCAGCACTGCATTTGATTTTAGTCATTTTACAAAATTTTTGTTTAATTCCTTCTCTTGGTTCTTTGCTTTGCCGCTGATATACAGACTTAAAATCCTTTGCTTTAGCTGTTGGATTAAGGAAATTTTTATTCTTTTTGCAACAATGAATATGGGTGGGCATTCGGGTGGGTAACCGAAGGGTTACCCGGAAACCGAACCGAAAAAAGAATTTGGTTTGGTTTCAATGGTTTTCAAGTTTTACTGTTTTGGTTTGGTATTAACGAAATAAATTTTGGTTTGGTTTTAGTTGAACCTTTCACTAACCGAAAACCGAAATGAGCCTCCTGAAAATCAAAATTTGGATAAATATGACAAAATATAATAAAATATAACATGAAATATAATCTATTATTGGGGAAAAAAAACTGATTAATGTTTATTCGGTAAAAACCGAAATCAAATATAAAATAACCAATTTTATTGGTAACCGAACTGATCGGTTGATGAAAAGTTTGGTTTGGTTTTGGTTCTCAAAATTGAAGAAAAAAATTTTTGGTTAATTTAAAACTGGTTTCGGTTTCAACCAAAACTGGTTTTTGCCCACCCCTAACGCTGAAGCAGTGGGATCACCAAATTAGATTAGATCCACATTCACATGGTTATGGACTAGTAATTTAGCTTGCATATATTCTATCTTTCTTTCATTCTTTTAAGCAGATAGGCTTGCTTAATGCTTTTGACTTCTGGCTTCTGAATCAATCAATTACTTCACTGATGTCCTTTCTCCATTTTTTTTCCATTCCTTAATTCCCTCATAATTTCTCATGTGCCAATGCCTTGATTTTGGCTGGCAGGTTGTATGTGGATGGATATGCAAAAGAGTGTATTTTGATCGTTTAAAAGACATCCTCAGAAAAAGGTTTGGACCCTCTAATTTTCTTTATAACGATCTTTTCTAAGTTGTTCAATTTTAATCCTGCATGATTTATTTGTTTGTCTCTTTCAGTATCTATATTTCACTCATACATAATGCATTAAATAATAATAAAAAAGAAATTGTACGATTTCATTGTTCATTGTTCATTGTTCATCAATGAATTTTAAGGTTACAGAAACATGGATGATAATTATTAAATTCATCATGTATGGTCTTTGTGGACCATCTACAAATAATAATTTCAATAAAGCAACTAGGTCCTAAAAATTGAAGGCAAAGAGGCAAGAACAAAGGAGCCTAGAGGATGTGGTTGATCTTGAGCTCATTCTTTGTCGTCTCGGTCTCAGGATGAGCAAAAGATCCACTTCACATGCTCTTCTGGTAAATCACTAATCCAATGTGTTGCTCATCTTCAATAGCATTGTGATATATTGAATACCATAGTGGTATCCTAAATCACATTGCTTAACTATAGGAATCACTATGTTTGGTGGATCTAATCTAAGAGACATAGCAGAAGGGATAATTTTCATGGTAGTAGTAAGTCTAATTACACAATGGAGATCAGAAAGGTGAATTTGGTGAAAACATTGGCAAGATGAACCAGTATTTATAGGGCTCTTGAGGCACAAATTACACTAGGGTGATGTGTGGGGTGACGTTCATGATTTTCCTTCATTGATGCCAACAGCACATAACTTCCATATTTGTAGTATCCTTTTTTGGTCAACTTCCATATTTGCAGTTCTTTCCTTGTAAAGCAATGGTAATGGTAGAATTCCCAAATCCACCCCTAAAGTTTGACAGTGGAGACAAATCTACCCCTAAACAAAAATTAGGGACAAATCCAACCACAAGGTTTTAAACTTGAACAAATCATCCAAATTTAACATGTGGCATTAAATGACGTCAACAATCCGTTAACAATGAACTTCTCAGCGGTGTAACAAGTTAACAGATTGTTGATGTCATCTGACATCACACATTAAATTTGGGTTGATTTGTCCAAATCAAAAACTTTGTTGGTAGATTTGTCCCCTTTTTTGTTTGGGGGTGGATTTGTCCCTACCACCTAACTTTGGGGATAAATTTGGGCATTCTGCCAATAGTATTACCATATATGGTTTCATAATTTCCTTACTGGTAAAGCAAGAGTATATCTCAAATTCATGTGGCAAGTTTGTGAAGGTATTCACAAGTTGACTGCCACCGATTATTCATCCACTCATCAGATTACCATATTTGTCCTTTTTTTCTGGCTCATTTGCCTCGTATCTGCAAAGAAAAAGAGTATAAGAGCATTTTTTTTTGTATTTATTTCTTTAATATGAATACTATTAAAATTATGAAGGAAAATTCCAACACCCTTGTTTCTTTTTATTTTGACTAAAAAAATTATAGGAAGAATCAAAGTGATTCTAACAAATGCAGTCAAATCATCTAAAATTGTATAGAATTAAAATGGTTAAGCCTAAAAAAGTCACCATCATAGATTAAATTTTAAGGTAGTGATAATCTGCTATTGACAGATCAGCTACATTTTGGAATTAGGAAATTCTTGCCTGTAATATGAATTGTTTTTCTATATGTGAAAATTTCACTCACTGAGAAAATGGAAGGATGTCTTGCTACGAAGCTAATAGGAAAAAGGAAAAAGAAAAGAAAATTATGTGCTTTATGATTCTTTTTAAAATATCTTGGCTGGAATAGAAAAATTAGTCAGAGAGAAAAAAGGGAGGATGTCATGCAAAGAAACTAATAGGGAGAAATATGAAAAGAAAATTTGGCTCATGACAAACATGATTTGATTTGATCAATGACTACGTTTCTTTCCTTTTTTCAAAGAGTGGTGATTTTATAAGCTACTGGTTAATTTTCTCTCTTTTCGTTTCTAAATTCATGGTTTTGATTAATAAAAATAAATCACAAACATACATGCCAAGGAAAAGTTTTAATCTCATGTCACTGGTGTCAATAGATTATTTTACCAAGCTAGGTGGTGATTCATAGAAGATTTTGCTAACTTCAATAATGAATAACCCTTACCTGAAATGGTACCGGATTTTCTTGCAAAGAGTCAGTGTCATGCCCCACCATCATCTCTATCTTTCTGGTAAATCATTGATCCGATAGATATTTTAAGCCATGAATGAGAAAATTTCTCAGAAGTTGATGGTTGAAGCAACGGCTTAAGATTTATATCAAGAGCAGGTTGTACTATAGTTTTACAACATGATTTTTGATTTACAGGTTGTGGTTGCATGTTGTTGCTGGCAATGCCAGAAATGATAACAATATTTATAGAGAAATTAAACTCTATTTGGACAATTGGCACCTTTGGATTGGTATTCACACGTTGGCAACACCTCTATCATTATGCCACGTTGCACATGCCTTATTTAGTTGCTAACATACCAAGAATTGGTGTTTAAGAAATGTTCTGTTTTTTTGCATACTCACATTTGCATTTCTTAACCTAATGACTTTTTAAACTTTAATATCAACAATTTTATCTCTTTTTTACCTAGAAGTTAGTATATTTATTTTGTTAAATTTAGCAAGTTAACATACCACGGTTTCTTTTACACATATTTACCGTCCTGAAATAGTAAAACTTGTGCAGGACCCCTTGAATTGTTAGCATGAGGTGGTTGGGATTTTGGATTACATATTTAATGCAAGCATGTCTATTGATCATTATGTATTGATTCAAAAATTTAACATTTTGGATTTTTGAATATTTCTCAACCCTAACCTCTATGTCCTACAATATGAGTCATCCTAGTTTAGAACCTTCTTTGTCCTCGGATGGTGTTCATGTCCTTCAACTTGTGATACTTTGAATTTTATTGGATTTTTTTTTTTTTTTTGGCCATCAAGAAAACTTAGAATAACATTGTGATGAGTAGGTATTTAAATAGGTGAATTATCTCTTATGAGACATACATGATATTTCAGTAATATTTTTTTATCATATACCTTTCTTCCAATTTGTTTAATATATGTATACTTGCTTAAATTTTTCCAAAACCATAGTAGGAATGCAATTTATTTATTCAATTTTGATTTGGATTTGCATGCTTCATGTGAT